ATTTAAATATATAAAATAAATATCAAAAATATAAGTCTTTGTTTTACTATGGTTGCAAATATCAGAAAATTTCTATATGTGACATGGCATCAGTCAACATACATATTTCCATGGATAGACAAATGACCTTAATTTTTTATAAGGTTGAATGATGTCACAGCAGCATTTATTCTGTAAGTTACCATCCCTTACATATATAGCCATGTGTGAGAACCACTGTTGGCCTCTTAAAGTCCACTGAAATTTCCTGTTAATTGTGAATAGCCAGATTAGGATTCAGCAGTATTAAAATGTCTGGTTTATGTTAAAATTCCAGCAGACCTGAGATTCATTAGATTCTCCAAGACTTGAAGCCTTTTTATGCTTCTGTAATGTAATGTAAATTTAAGGAACACATATTATTTGATACAAATTAAAATTTATTCAAAATAGAGGCCAATGAGGAAAATCAGGTGTGCTTGGTGGCAAATGCAGTGATCTGCGAATAGTGAGAAGTTTTGATCAGAATTGGGGGAAAATAACTATATATTGCCCCCCCCATCCAGATTTAAAATTTTTCACATTCTGCTAAATAGAAATGAAAAGAATATTAATTTAAATTTTTGATCTGACTATTTGAATCTAAAACAACCTCCTTGTTTTAAGATACCACATCATATAGCTATCATTATCAAATTAAAAGTTTGCTCTATTATTAAATTGACTTTGAGAATATTTTATTGGTTATTTAGTAAGAATGATTATGTGATGGCTTAGCAAAGTGTGTATGTTTAGACAGTAATCCTCAAAACCTAATCCTCAAGATAATTTCAGATTTGCCTTTGTTTTGATATTATGAAGTAAAGTGGACTTCTGGCAGCATCTTAATTTTTATCAGTGTAGGTAGATTGACCAGATAATAGATAATGTTCTTCCAAAACTCCTTCCATTCCAGCCCAATGGCTTTTGTGTATTTCTACACAACTAACAATCACAAAAAATTGTTACAGGTGCTCATTTCAACAAGTCTGAAAAAAGGCATAGTATTTTAAACATGAATAATAGGAAAATTACTTTGTATATGAAGCTGCATTATTTTTAACACACTGTGTAAAATTTAAAATATGTGGAACAAAAAGAGGTCTTGACCAAAGAAGGATATACCTGCCTTCCAGAGATCTTGGGAAAGAG